CTACTCAAATATTTTACGTTTTTGATACTAAATTAACATCTGAAGTATAATTTTTTATTATTTTTATATTTTTCAATATATTTATTTTGTTTGTACAAAATAAAAAAATAATTTTTAAGGATACAATAGTCTTTGTTAGGCTTAACATCGACGAAAATTCAACGCAAAGCGACACGCAACGGAGAAAAATTTCGACATCGGATACGTTAAACTATTTTTTCGTACGTAAATCAGTTATCCGAAATATCAGTTATCCGGACAACCCCAGTCCCCAATTGATTCGGAAAATCGACACTCTACTGTAGTTATCTATTATTTTATGCAAATTAGTAAGGCTATTGCAATATGCAAAGTAGTTAACAGACCAAAAATGCATATTTTTCCTTAAAATGCTTTAAAAAAAAAAAAATTTCAGTTGCCAACTTTGAAATGATCTTGACTGTATGTCGGAATGGAAAGACGGACTGGCCTAAGAGATCTTCGTTCCACTTTCCTCCATTGCCTATTCATATTAATAAAAACTTCCGGCTAAGTGTCCTCTCTCTTAAACTCTGTGTTTGTCTCCCAGAATCATAGTAAATAGTTTTGGTTTCGTTATAACGTCGGCTATCGTTTCGATATTTTAATTTGCAAAACGACTCAATATAAATTAGTGTTCGCCTATTGTATCCTAAATTATAATAATACACTGGGACGACGACCGGTTGTTCGTTTTGTTTTGTTGCCGCCGTGTTTAATCCTGGATTAATTCAAATGTTAAAACGGCAATTATGATTATTTTTTAATTCATAATTGCCCTAATTTTTCAAATCGGCCGTCGTTAATTTTGTGGTATTTACCGTCGATTGTTCGTGCACAAAATTACAATCGACGTAATAAATGCGTTCGACTTAAAGCTTTCGGATTTTTATGCAAAAAAATGTTTAATTATAATTAATTTATAAAATGCATGACAATTGTTAACAAGTCGAATTTAACAAGAAACGTAATACAATTAGACATTTAAAAGTCGAATTCGCAACTATTTAAAGAAAAAGCCATCATTAAGCATTAATGGTGATTGCACTAAATTTAATATAAAATTACGTCTAACCAAAATAATCGATTCTATTTTATAAAAAAGTAAGCCGCAGCATTTTCTAGAAAAGAAGCAAATAAATTTTGAGTTTAATGCACAATATTAATATAGAAAAAAGATTTTAAAACCGTAATTTCAGTTTGATATTAACAAAAACCAGAAGTAGATACGGATTAGACGACGTAGCTGTATCGGTTTAACGATCGAATAAAGTACATTAATAATAGCGTTATATATAATATAAATAGTCGTAAATCGAATGTCTTTTATAATTTGTTGAACTTTTTATATTTGATATTTCAATTTATTGCCGCACGTAAATTCTACTAACATTCTATCGATTCGTTCTCTCTCTCTCTCGCATCGCACCCAAAATTAAATTCGTATTAATTTAAATCTCGGTGTACGTATACGTGTGTGTCATATATTATAAATCTCGTGCAGACACTGCATATTTTTTTTTTTTTAATATAATTAACTTTTGCAATTATTGATGTTTAGTACAAAGAATTTTGAAATTATTTCAAACTTTTATCACGGTTTGTGTAAAAAGTTAGGTGCAAATTAAATCTTGTGCCTTCCGAAATTTTGCCAGTTCTTAATAGAGTTAGTGGTGCTTTTATGGATTTTTTTCCCCTTTTACGGAGTCCATTTACAAATTCTGCTTGTACAGTTTGCACTTGTTATTCTACAGCACTAAATTGTTAATATATATTTCTTCCAGTTTGTTATCGTGCCAATTGTTTTTGCCAAATTTATTTTCGCTCTCAACTTTGGTCGAATTTTTATAATTATCGAATCTTCTCGTTCTTTACCATGTGTGTGATTTTAATTCTTTGTAGATAAGAAATTCGCCAGTACAAAAATTTTCTAGTCACTTGGCAACATCATCCGAAGCGTTTGAATTATTTGACATATACGAAATCAAATAACGCAGGAAGGTTAATTTTATAATTGTAAATTGTGCGTCACGTGTGCAGAATTTTATTTTGGGATTTAACGAAAATCGAACCGAGACAATCATATTTGATTTGATGGCAAATTACATTAGAGTCGTATATGTATATATATATTATACGTGTAATACTGTATTTGTATTCCAAACGCATAATTTTTAATAATTCGCCGTTTTGTTTGTTTCAGTAGCTAAGCAATAAAAATTGTATTTTTTAATTACGTAAAAATACTTAGAAAAAACTGGCACCTTCACTCGTTTTTACAGAGAAGAAATTGAGCACTGCCCAAGGTTTCAAACGGTTATTAAATGCAAAACTGTAAATACATTGTGCATTGTATTTTTTGTTTTTTCCTCTCTTCCTTTTTTAAAATCTTGCTTAAAAATTCTTTGTAGAATCGATCTTTGTGAAGCAATAAAGTGTTCAGGTCTTAACGGAGTATTTTATTTTCCACGAAAACGGTGACAGACAAATCATACAAAATTTATTAAAATACTATATACAATATAAATTAGTCTTATTTACAAGTTGTCCGCAAACCAACCGGATGAAGCTTTTTCACAATTTTAATGACTAGTCGAGTGTAATTACATAAATGCCAAGTGTTTATACTTATTAAAATAGTGATTTTGGAAAAATTGCACAATATATAAACACATATTTACATAGGATATTCTTCTGTCCGACCGGCCGAAAAAGGGAATACATTTCTATAATTTATTGCGAAAAATATCTTTGGAAACGAAATGACGGAGCGTGACGAATATATTAGAAACGGTAGAACGTCTGCCGAAGGGTGAATTATATTAATCTTTAAATTTGATAGAATTTTTGAGAGGTGAGCGTCTTTAACGTCCTGTGCGCCACTGCCCTGCAACGAAGCATTTTCGTCAAACCAAAACGTTAATCTACTCAGTGAAATACCAAAGCGCGAATTACCTCATGGCGAAGGTGGCCACACCGGCGGCGAATAGAAGATACAGCTGATTGGATCCTTCTTGTAAGATGTAGCTTTTGTAGTATTCGGAACAAGTGTAGGCTTCTCGAGCGCCGTGCCGATTCTCTGACGAATCTGAAAATCGTACAGTTTAACGGTTTAAACCCAGAGAAGGGGTTGGGAGCGGCGGGCCGACCTACTCACCCGCGTCGTTGGCCTTTTCGGCGCCGGAGAAGTAAGTTCCAGCCGCCATCTTGTAAAGCATCCTCAAAATTTCCTGCCGCCTCCTGAGACTCAGGCACTTGCCGTCTTTGGGTCGGCCGTTGTCTTCTTCCAGAGGCTGCACGCTACAAATACACCGCTTCCGAGATTCTATTAATATGAATCTGAAATGCAAACGGAGGCCCGCTTAATAAATGGAAATTGCCAAAGTAAAGAAGGAGGGAAAGGGACTCACCCCAAAATGTTTCGATCGATGGTGACGGAGGTAGGAAAATTTCTAGGATGGAGACTAGATACGCACTTTAATTGTTCGAAGACGGCTTTCCAATGTTTCGGAATCTAAATAGCCGTTAAATTATTAATTAAGGTTTTTACACTTGAACAATATTTCTAACTACACACCAACCAAATGCCGAAAATTATCGGGCTAGTATAAGGCTAATTATTAAAATAGTCCCCTTGGCCTAAAACGCACGACCGATTAAACAGAAATCTAAAAAACTTAACATAAATGTTTTTATATTTTATAATTTCATTGAATCAAATCGTACTTAAGGCTAAAATTACCTCCTCTTCCAATTGCGATAAGGAAATATTGGGTCCACACAAAACACACAATTCGATTCCCTGAGTTAACTGGAACGTCAGCAATCTGTTGCAAACCTACAAAAAAATAAAACTATGACATAATTAAGCTAGAAAAGACGTTGGATAAGAAGAAGGAACCCACGTTGGGGCAACTGGCCGGTAGATAAATGGGAATGTCTCTGGACACGGTCTTGGTCGAAGAATTGACGTAGGCGGAAAGCAAGACTAATTCCCGATTGTCGAGGGACCACCACTTCTTGGTGGCCAGGGCGATCTTCCCCCTAACTAAAAGACATCCGTAGGCACTTTCCGCCGTCTCCACGAATGATTCCAAACAGTGCTGCCAGATAAATGCGCATTTATTTATTTTATCCGAACGAATTTCGTCTAGTCCGAAATCGTAAAACGTCCTCTTACCTGTAACGAGGGACTTTTATGACACAGGATGCAATCGACCACTCCGATCAGATCTCCGACAGTTAACTGATCTTCGTCTAATTGTAAAAGAATGTGATCTACTAGGTTATAGCATACCTGAAATTTCAATACAATCAGTTAAATTAAATATTAAAAAAAATGGTAAAATGTACGTAAATAATATTGTACCTTGAGGTCCCTCTTTAATCTCTCCACGTTTTGGATATTGCAAAGGTTATCTAGTCCCACACACGTGACCATGGCGGCAAAGACGTTATCTAGGACGCGACCGATGTGAGAATCGCAGGCGTTGTCGTCGCTGCAGATTATGATCAACACCACGCTGCAAACGAATGAGAGATTTATTTTTCGCCTTCTCTCCGCCATTTTGTTCGAGGCGGGTTTTACCTTTTGTGATACGACCTCCACAATAACTTTCCGTCTCCGGTTACCGTACTCAGTAGTTCCGAGTTGTGCAGACTGGAAAACATGTGCATGCCGTTCAGCGTCCCCACGGCCGCAAACGGTAACTGAAAATACATTAATTTAAAAGCATTGTTAATCGACCAAAGTCGGCACATTCCACTAACAAATTAAAATATAATTATCAGTTTTATTTAATCCTATCATTTTACATACCATCAGCTTTTACATTACATACAGATAGACAGGTAGGTTTGTGTGTATCTACCTTAATAGATATGATCCAATTGTTTGTATGGACGTTGCACTATATACTGTACAATACGATAGTAATACACAATGTTTCGTGCTTGGCATTATTGTATTTGCCTTTTATTCGGAAAAATTTCAATCGAAACTAATTAAAAATTTCTATTAAAAAATCGTCCTAAACAAATATTACTTTAAATTTAATTCGCCATTTTCTCGTACAATTTTGCCGGTTACGCCATACTTTTCGACAGAAAACCGGGCGGAACGCATTCCCGCTTGTAAGAAAAACAGAAATTTCAAATTACGCCGTTAAATTTACAAAAACTACCAGTTCGATTTAACATTTTTTCGGATCGGTAAATGCACGAAAACGAATTATCCGGAAACACTGCAACGTATTCATTTCGAAAATAATTTCAACGGTCACTTTAAGATAATGCCAAGGTTATTTTAAAAACGACGAGGAGTCGGCAAATTTGCAATTTTGTCAAATTATTTCCATTTACGTGGATATAAAATTGTAACGAAAGACCAAAACAGAAAATCTAGAAAAATATTTTTCTTTAATAATTTTTTTAAAGTTTTTTCCCCTCCTTTACGGTACGGCATTTATAAATTACAAAAATTTCGTGCGCGTGGAGTAATATTACGAAAGAAAAGCCATAAGAATAGTCGAATACAAAATACTTTGCAAGAAATTTAATTAATAAAAAAATTCTACTAAACGAAAATCTTGTTAATTCCACCGCGATTCTAAACATGAGCCGTAATAACCGACGAAACAAAGACGGTACACTACATTGTTCGGGGCAAAGACACTCGACGTACTACAAACCACTGCCACAAAATATATGTATTGGAATCATCGAAGCATTCAGCGGAATCATTTTTCATCTAATCCAGTTTTTACGTGGAACGGAGCGGAACATCTTTGACGGAACCGCTTTAAAAAACGCAATAAATAAAAATTGCAGAACAAGACTTGAAACGGAGTTCGACAACCTCGTTTCGGCAACTTTCAAAAACACTGGCCATACTCGATGTGTCGCCTGTTTGTATAGGCACATAAAAGTCGAATTTTAATTTATAAATAACCTTAAACAGAATTTCAGCCCAAGAAAAATGACCCGCGGAAATGCAGGTGCGAAGAACCAACGACCGGAAACGGCACGAAACTAAAAATATAATTTCTTATTTAAAACATATTAAAGACTTCTCGTTAAAACTCTTCGAACTAATTTAAGTTTAAAACTCGGTAAAATGGTAAAAAATTTAATGAGTAAGAATGAGTCAAACGTCCAAAACATTCTTAACAGATCTCGTCATCGGTTTGAAAGAAAAATGGGAATCGCTCTCTCCGCGGGCAACTTGTTACTGTTGTTTCGATCGGACACGACCAATTAACGGTAAGTTTTTATGTTTGGAACATTCCGTAACATGCAGGAAACGACGTGTTTATAGACGTTGGGTGTGGAGAGGACCTCCTGACCTCCCACAACACCTGTAATTACTTTACTCGAGTTCCGGGATAGTGTGGTCACTCCGAAGGCTTCCACACCCCGACCTTCTCACTCTAACAAAGGTCCCTCCGGTCTTACTTTTTTGGAAAAATTTTTGGAAACTCGTAATCTTCAAAAATAGCAACACCCGAGCAAGGCCCAAAAACCGTTCTTAAGCGTAATTTTATTGCCATTACCGCTGTTATAAATAAATTTAGATTTAATGGAAGTGGCAGTAAGTAAACAAATACGTAAGAAAACGACCGTCCGTTCCGGTCAAATTACGATGGATTCTGTCACGGTTCCGCCGTCGCCACGACGTTTTTGCCCTGGCGGAAAGAAGCGTAACGAATTAGTTAATAGAAAAAATGATTTCGTACGGAAAGCCCGAGCGGTTTCGATTGGGAACAACACTCGAAAATATCACCCGAAACATATTTAAATTGCTAAATCAGATGTTTCGATTGGGCAATTCCTATTTGGCAGAATCGGCGGTAAAAGCAACGTATTATTAAAATTAAACCTACGTTAGAGGAACGCTACAATTGTTGTTTTACGGTGAACGATTCGTACTAAAAACAACTAACGTAACATTAGAAAACCTTTCGTTCGAGTAACTAACGCATGGCTTGTTACGAGAATATGGACTTAAATTACCAAAAAAAGACGGGCGAATCGGTCGACGGTTTCTATTTTCGGCCAGGAACCTTAAACAGGATGTTCGTTAAACTGCTTCTTAGCGGTGTGTAATTTCTCCTCGTGTGCGACGTTAGCGATACGGGATAGGCTATACACCGTGACGCTGGCCCCCATTTGTATTTCTTGCCAATTAGGAACGAAAATAAATTTAGGTAACGGTCAAACAGGTAGCCTCCTTATATTTACGGAATGTAATTTAATATTTGTGATTAAATAATGATAAATTCGTTACGCCGGCGAGAAACAAAAAGCCACTCGACCTACAAAAAAAATTTAAGCTCGGTACGAAATCCGAGTGAAAACCATTGATTACGGGACCCAAACACTCCGGGTAGTATATCAAACGGAAGGGAAGGCCGCACCCTGGCGCAGAATGGCCTAAGGCCACCGAGAGCTCGTGAATTACCTGACAGGTAATTATTTCTTACCGGCTCGATCCAATCCCCGCCTCGTGCCTCAAGTCTTGTACTGTACAAGACTGTTCGATATTACAGAGGTGAATTACCCGTAACGAGTATTTTATTGTAATGTCGGTCGTCTCCCAAAACGCTTTTTTTCCGACGCCGGAGATGTTAAACAAAGAGTTAAAAAATAATAAGATTTGTTTGCCCAATTCGGGCGTTGCGACAGATCTTAAACTTTAAATCGAACATTTTCTAGTAATGGGATATCCGTGAACGGCAACACCGGTGCGATTTCTCATTAGTTCTGCCCAACCGACAATCTCGCACCTGGTCTAATTATCGCGCACGAATGGGAAACGTCGATCGTCCAACCGTTGCAAAGGACAATTCGTTTATCCGGCCGTGACGTCGGAACGTAGAAAATACGTTACGTTTGGTGCATCGGCCGTCTTTCCTTTCCGGTTGTGGAAATTATATTTTTCTCGCGTTTTCTGTCAATTTCGTTTAAAAAAATTGGATCTTAACGCTGTCCGGCAGATAAAACAACAATGGCCATATTGTTCTCCGGTAAATTATCAAATTTGTGGTTAAATAAACGGATTTACCTTTCCCTGACCGTCTCGTTACACAATTTACAATACGCGGTAATTTCATAGAATCCGAAAAGATATCTGTTTTCCTTGTTTAAAAAATCTTTAGTCTGGAGGTGGGGAGAAAGTAAATGAGAAAATCGTGACGGCGGAAACTGCGACGCCGGTACCTGTTGTAGGTGGTTTTTCTGTAGGGGCTATCGCGTCTTGACCCACAGTCTCCTCCTCTTCGACCAAAATCTCGCAGGGTTTCATTTACTTTCGAAATAAACAGTTTTTAAATGACAAAAATGGAACTTTCGTCGTTTTTAACGAAGCTTATTTGAATTTTGCACCGGTTAAGTAAAAAACAAAAAAGTTTATATTATCTAACCAGGAACTGAAAGAAAATATACCACACCCTTTAATAGGAAATGTTACAATAACTGTCTTTAGAAAAGTAGGATGAGAAGTGCAGTTGAATACAGAAAAGCTGTTTGTGGTTCTTCTGCATCTTTAATGATGGTAAAGTCAATTTTATTTAAAGACAATGGACTCTGCTTTATATCACAATCGATTATTTAACATATTTTATTAGATTAATGTATATTGTAATTGTAAACATTAAGTCAAGAATTCTGTGTTTGTGTAATGTATAACATTAAGGTAGTTATAAAAATTTTAAAATATTGAAGGAAAAACTTTCCTGATATATTATCAATTGAATGTAACAAAAATTTAAATTTAAAATTGTATTTTTAAAACCTGAGTAGAATATAATTCTTAAACTAACATAAGCAAAATTACATTAAAAATATTTAAATGTTTGAAAATAAAACTAACTAGATTAAGGATTTATTTCATAAAACACCATTTTTAAATTTTTATGGGACACTTTACTATTTATTGATTCAAATTGTTCTCAATATTCTATTAATTCCAGTGAGAGAGATTCTGTTAAAACTGTTTATAATATTACAATGTTATCAATAACCAAAGTGAATTAAAAATTTAATTGGTGCCATGTAAGGAACTGATAAGAATAAAATGTTTGTAAAATGATAAATTAGTTTGAATCTCTTTAAATAATTTTTTTATTATAAATATGGTTCCTAGAAAGTTATTTTCATTTTATTCCTATAAAAAATAACTAAATTAAATGCAGTGGAATCTAAAAAGAACCAACAGATTATCAAAACCACTCTGAGTGGTTTTGTTCTTCTATCAAATGATACATACCAGTAATATTAAAAATGTGAGAATGTGACAAATCATCTTATCGCTATCCACTAAAAAGAAAAGTTTTAAACAACAAGATTTCTTATATTACCATTAAAGCACAAAGAAATACATTACATTTTTTAATCAAAATTTTTAATTCTTTGTTAGTATGAATGAAAAAATCTACAATGGTAGTCTTTTATTATGGTGTAAATAAATTAAAGTCACGCACAAGTAACTTTAAATGGATGAGTAAGAAAATTTAAATAAATAATTATGATGATAATCTCTAAAAATACAGTTTTTGGTAATAAGTTTGCAGCAAAAAAACAGTTTAAATGAAATGATTAATCTTAAAAGTTATTAATCACTCGCTATGCATATATTATATGTATAATATCTAAAATTACAATTTGTTAGTCAAAAGTAAATACCACCTAAAGCACTTTTCTTATCTTCTAAC